CTACAGCTTTAAATTCTATACTTTCTTCTTTGTAGAAGTAAGAAAAAATTTGTTCTAGATGTCTTAGTTTTTGTGTAATAAATTTTTAAAAAGTGCATGTTTTCGTCAAAAACAACGTCTTATTTCTAAAACTAAGCGAAATCGACTAATAAAAGTTTAGCGTAAAAACATTATTTTAAAAGGCTACATCCAAAAATGCCAAGAAACATAGGATGTTTTCATTTAAAAAAACACAAGTTTGTATCGTAATTCATTTTTGGGACATGCTGTATGGTTGAAAATAATTTTAGGTCATCCACTATTGGTATCTATCAATGTCCTACACATTTTTTTTTAAATTTCACTATATTAAGGTCACTAATGGACTTTTTCACCTCGCTGTATGTATTAGCAAAGGCCCCTGAGCAAGAATGATTTTAACAAGGACTGGAAACTGTGCATAAATGGTAATCAGTCTAATCAGCGTACGCCACTCTTTGCACTTCTCTGCTCTTCATACCAGAATTTTGTTTTTGAACGCTTTGGGATATTCCGATTTTGCTCGTAAACATTTTGTTTGTAAATTGTGTGAATATTAAATTAATTAGTTTTACTAGACATCCATTTATTGTCTTTACTGTGCATTTATTATTTTTACTGATCAAAAATACTTGTCGTTTAAATAATATACTATTGTTCCCAATAATTTTTCTTGAGGTTGAGGAAATTTTCGTCCAATCGCATGTCGGCGATAAATTTCCCGGTGTAAAATGGCTTTTAAAGCCTGGCGAGGCCTTATTTGCACTTTCGGCGTTAACGACGATAATGTAGTAATAATAAGGTGCGATATATGGTATTCAAGTTGCTAGGCGCGTTTCTCACGTAATGAACACGTTTGTGTTTGTGTGTGTGTGAGTACGTATCGTACTATCTCCGCGGCCCTAATGGCCCCCAATCACGCAACTCCTAATTGACTTGTGAAATCGCCGCTGCTCCACCGAGGAAAAATCGTACGCGAACGTTGTTTCTGCGATTGCTGGGCGGATCGACGGATTTTTACCAGCGGAATTATTATCACGCTTGCTTACGGACCGAAACAACGAGGAAGGAGCAGGACTGGACTGGTACTGCTTCGAAAATTTGAGCGCTTTTCAGGCATTTCAAGGAGAAAGTTGAAACTGTTTTTCAGAAATTCGGATATTCTAACGAAAATCCGCCGGAGAATCCAAACCCATCTAACATCGACAGTTTTCGAGTTATTAAAATTTTCTGATGATTTGTAAAGAACTATACGTAGAGTAAGTCCGGGAGAGATGGTCCATATTTTTATTCAAAGATTTATGCCTATAGTAAATAATGTAGAGGTAAACTACTGCTAATTAATCATTATTATTAATAATGTATACAAAATGATTAAAACTAAGATTTATTGTGAATTTTTTTTTCTTTATAATAACCATAATAAATTAGTAAAAATTATTTTTGTCACAAAGAAAACAAGAAGAAAAATAAATAACACTTGCATTTACAAAAAAAAATTAAATTAACTAATCTGTAGCAGGTCCAAGTTGTGTTGCCGAAAATAAAATATTACGTGTTCTAAAATGAAAAAATCATGAATTTTCAGTCAGTTTTATTTAAAAGTCGACTTTAAAGAGAATCTTTATTTCAGTTCAAACCACGAACGGTTTTATTTCCTTTAGCATGATCTTTAAAACAATTTATAAAAGCAACAAAATTAAAACGCATTTTATTCAAAATCTCATCAATGAATGAATACTAAAATGAAATTTAACTAAGTGACTTCATTATTTTTTTGAAATCCTTATTTTGTTGGTTCTGAGTAATTAAAAAAAATGAAATCTGAATGTTAGAATTTAAATTTTTTATTTATATGTATTGGGATATGTAATAGCATAATTCAGTTATTATTTACAGTCCGTTTCGAACTGAGATTAGCAAATTTGTGTAATTTCCTCCCAAGTCCCGCTATTATAGCTCACCAGGAATAATATCAAGCAACATTTGATTTTTTTCATAATATAATTAGATAACACTAATCGTCGTGTTTATAACAAATCTTTAATGACGTCGTCACATATTAATATCTTCCTTTTGGTCAATAAAGCGGGCAATTTGAAATAATTTGAATTAATATTTCGTAAAATTATTTTCCAGAACTTTTCAGGCATTTTAAATTGAACGAAACTTGG